AAAAAAAAAAAAAAAAAAAAAAAAAAAAAAAAAAAAAAAAAAAAAAACAGCTTTATTGAGATATACCATAAAATGTACCCATATGAAGTATATAATTCAATGGTTTTAGTGAATTTAGTGTTACGCAGTCATCACCATGATCTAATATCAAAACATTTTCCTCAGCATCAAAAGAAACCTTGTAATAACATTAGGCCACTCCCTATCCCCACCTTAGCACCTGATAACCACTAATATACTTTCTGTCTCTGTATTGGCCTATCCTGGACCTCTGCTATAAATGGAATCATACAGTGCGTGGTCCTCTTCTGAATTGTGTCCATGCTCTTCATTTGTTGGTTTATTCAGTTATTTATTCATTTGCTTTTGCATTCATTCCACACACCTGATTGAGAGTCTTTTACATTCTGCGTACTGTCTTATATGAGCCTAACTAATGTACATGAGCCTAATCATAATATCACTGTATGTCAGATTTATGGTTATGAATCTTGGGTTACGACAGCTTTTTACATTAGGGCACACTCCTCAGTCTGACATATACAGTCTGATGCACGCAAAGCGTGGTTGTCCACTCACAGTTTAAATTAGAGGACAGCAATCTGATCTTCAGAAGGCTCGGGGCCTCTTCTGCTGGTAGGGATCTTTTTGTTCTGTCCAGTTTTGACTGGCCACAGCTTTCTCTCAGAGAACTTTGGAGAGAAGCAGAAGTTACCAGGAGGTCAGCGAGGCTGAAGGTGCTTCCCTCCTTCCCCTACAGGGTACAATGCTTGGAGGCGCTTCTGCGGGCTCTCCCAGCCCCGGAATCTGGCACAGCTTAGCCGGGTGCTGAAAAACCAGGATTTGGCAAGGAAGTTCCTGAATCTGTATGGGACGCCTGACAATATTGACATCTGGATAGGGGCCATCGCAGAGCCTCTTTTGCCAGGGGCCCGGGTGGGGCCTCTCCTGGCTTGTCTTTTTGAGAACCAGTTCAGAAGAGTCCGAGATGGAGACAGGTAAGTGACCCTACCCTAAAAGACATCTGCACCAGAGGCAGAGCAGAAAAACACTAGCATTTCGAGATGGGAAAGCAATGGGGGAAAGTGCTCTTTTGACTTCATTTCTTCCAAGTTCACAGGATCTGAGACCAGGAGGCTCCTCCCGAAAGCTGGGTCGGAGGGAAAAACACACTGACCCAGGCAAGGCTAACTGCCTGAGCTGGAGTCACCGTAAACCCAGGAGACAAGATGTGTCAGCCTCACTGTTCCAGGCTCGTGGATTCCAGAAAATGGGCAGAAAGGGCTAAATCTGGTTACCCTCCAATAACTTTGTGATTCAAGACCTGACTCCTTACTTAGATTTGGTATTTGTCTGGGTCCAAATCCAGCCCTGGCCACTTAAATTACTTAATACTGGGCACTTGATACTGGGCAATTTATTTAACCACTGAACCTGTTTCTTCCATTATAAAATGAAAATAATGTCTATCTTGTAGGAATTTTGTGAGAATTGAATGAAATAATGTATGTAAATTACTTGGCACAAAACAGGTGCTAATTATAAGGTAATTCCTCTCCAACCTTCACCCACTTTTCTTGACCACCTGGTAGGTTCTGGTGGCAGAAACGGGGCGTTTTCACCAGAAGACAGCGCAGGGCCCTGAGCCGGATTTCCTTGTCTCGAATCATATGTGACAATACCGGTATCACCACCGTTTCAAGGGACATCTTCAGGGCCAACATCTATCCCCGGGGCTTTGTGAGCTGCAGCCGTATCCCCAGGTTGAACCTGTCGGCCTGGAGAGGCACGTAAGGCTTCTGCAGGTAAGGCGAGGCCTCCTCCAGCAGGGCCGGGCTGGATCACACCCCACATCCTTCCCTGGATGGGATAGCTGAGTTCTCTTAGGCCTCTAAGCAGAACGGAACTTGTCACTAGGGACAGGGTACTCCTCCCTAGTGTCTTTCCAATATGATAGCTTTTGGGCTCACAGTCAATCCCAGGGCCTAGGACTTTGGGGGACAATTAGGAAGTGCCCAGCCATCCCCAACTTGGTCACTAATACTCTAAAACAGCTCCACTTCTGGATGTCCAGCAAATTCCTCACTTAGCCAGGTCTGCTCTTTCCACAGGAGTCTGTCCCAAGCTCCAACCATTGGAGACACAGGGAAAGGGAAGACTATGAGGCTGCCTTCACCCTCTGGAGCAACTGTGTTCTGCTGATGCTTTTGCTGGCTATACCTCAGAGTTGGCTGGGAGTGACAACTGGTGCTCCTGGCAGTAGTGGACTCACCTGCCTTAGGGGCTTCTTAGGTATTAGGTTATGAACGGAGCCAGGTACACCAAGCCATGCAGCCTTGAGGCCCAGGCAAGAAGAGCCAGCTAGAGGGTTTCCAGCTCCTTTCTTCTGTTTCCCAGGCCCTCCCCCACCTGACTGGGAGACCACACAGTCCCAGCCTCCAGCCACCCTACAATCCTCCCCTGAGCCTGCGGCCAGGCAGCATGCTCTGCTTTTCCCAATAAAGCACTGCTGAGGGCAGGGGCTGCCGTTTCTGTGTCGGGCTGGGAGGGCGTGGCCACAGTCCCATGCTTTGCTCCAGATGTTTAGAGGAACGCTGCTAAGACGCAAGTTGGCACTAACTGCTAAGCCTCTCCTGGGGCTGAATTAGGAGAGCCACAGCAACATTGTGGGGTAGGGAAAGGGGGAAAGGAGGAAAGGGGAAGGGCAGAGGCATCAGGGACCCTGACAAGACGACGACCTCAGCCATGTCAGAGACCTGAGCAGAGAAGGAGCCGACAGAACATCAGTCAATATAAAAAGTTTTTATGTATAAAAAACACAATAAAAGATATAGCCAGCTAGCAAAAAGGACTGGGCACTGCCTTTAGCCCTCATTTACACCAGAAATGAGACATATCTCAATCTCAATAAGCCCTAAGCAGCAGAACGAGGCTGCCCTGGAAAGAGGAGGCTGAGACTCACAGGCCAAGATTTAAGATCTCTCTCACCCTCCTCCTCCTGTCTTGGAAGAAAGCAGGCAGGCTGTGGAACAGCAGATCCCTGTAGCTCTCTGCTACTGAGGCTATAAGACAAGCCAGAGAAGAGGCTGTGTCAAGGGTGGACTAATTATGAGGTCACCCCAAACTAGCTGCAGACCAAAAGTCTGTCTTGTTGTGATGCCCATTTATAGCAGCTGAAATATGAAGAGGGGGACCACAGCAGGCCACAGGTCTCTGGCTTTATATCCACATGACAGAGAAAAGACCCAGCAGAAGGTTAGGCAGCGGGGCCAACCAGGGATTTCCTAGCTCTTCTAGTTCCCAGTAGGTCAGTATGGGCTGTAATAAGAAAGAGGAAGAGGCAGGAGAGTACCAGCCTCAGGCAAATCTCGTCCTGTCCTCTTGCACCATGGGCCAGGGCTACAGTGAGCTAGGACTCCAAGGTTTCCGAGGGCCCTACTAGGTCCTGGGGGAGGCTTTCTCGGGCCTCCTGCATGCGGCGCCGGGCTCGATAGAAGGCCTCTGCAAGGGAAAGAGGTGCGGTAGTCAGCGGCAGTGGTGTCGGGAGGAACACAGCCCATGCTGACCCCCCGTAGCCAGCTGGGGCAGGGGAGGACCTACCCATCACATTGTGAACGGAGCTCTGCTGGCTGAATCCTTCCAGACGGTCCAACATACTCTGCATTCTTTTCCGGAGGGAGCTTGATTCCATGAAGGCTCTGCAGGGGGACCCATCGAGTGGTCACAATTGCTCTCCAGTCCGAGGGCTAAGGTGCCCCAAGGCAGAGGGCCAGGTCACTCACCTGGACTGCTGCAGACAGTGCAAGCGGAAGGTGACGCTCCCTGTGGTTTCTGTGCGGAGTCCGAAGCGGCTGAGACGCTCCCCCTGTGGCATACGGTCGAGACGGCATCAGGCTTCTGCAGTCTCAAGACGCCAGGTGCCAGGCTGGCCTCGCTCCCATTCTCATTCCCATCCTTGGAGAGAGCAGCTCTGCCAGGGAAACCCCATTCCTTCTCCCATCACCCCATGGCTGACACTGGGCCCCACTATAAATCAGGGAACATTCCAACTTCACTCAAGAGGCAGCCGTCTTACATGTTCACTGAGAATTCTCCCCACATCTGTTTACCGAGCCCTTCAATGATGTGGGAAAAGGCAGAGGCGGTTATTCTGATGGGGACCAGAGGAAATCTCTAAGTATATGTTTTCCAGAGATCTCCTAGGATAGCAGTAGAGATATTTGAACCTGGTTCAAAACATGGCCATGACTTCCAGCTTAAGCCACAGAAAGGAAGGGGCTAAGTAATACCGAAACAATGAACAACGAAGGGGAATTAACCCAGATCCCACCTTCTACACAACAGAAAGACAGGACTGTAAGTTCCCAGCATAAAGTTGCCCCAGAGACAAAAGTCACCTTGAAGGTTCCTGGTATCCGCACATAGGAAGGGTCCTCTAGTTCCAGAGAACCGCCGATGAAAAACCTCCTCAGCTCAGCTACCGTGCCCAGCTCCATGGGTCTCCACGTGGAGACGGTCAGGGTGTAAGAGCCTGCGCAAAGGGAGAAGAGAATGTGGCCAGGAGCAGAAAGTGCATGCTGCCCCTCACTGACGCCCCAGCAATGACACAGGCTGAGACGCTGCTAGAACACCTGGTCTGCTGACAACCAGGCCTCTGAGGAAGGTCCTTGCGGTGGTTCAGGGTGCCAGTTTGGAAACCAATCAGATAGGAATTCAAATCTCGGCTCTGCTAGTTATTATCTGTATGCCATAACAGGTTTCTTAACCTCTGTGGGCCTCATTTTCGTGGGGTAAAATGGGAGTAATAACACAACCTGCACTTCACAGAGTGGCTGGGAGAATTAAATGAGAAGCATTTGGCATAATGCCTGGCACACAATAAAAGACAGTCGCTTTTATTCAAAGTGAACACTGACTCATATAACACATATGTGCCAAGAGCCCGTTTCACCACGCAGCTTCTCCTCAAGGCCGTAAGTCCAGTCGGAGGAGCATGGAGCATGTAACAGACTGTGAGGCTGCTCGGCTTTGGGAAGTGAGTTCCAATTTCACTTAGCTGTCTTGAACAGAGGGGGAAGAAATTCCCCAAAGAAGTTAAATGCTTCTAATTTCTAATTATCCGTACTTCTCGCCAGACGCATTCAATCTTTTGGAAGTGTCAGTCTTGTTCCCAGGCCCTAGGGCATGAGCCACAGAAGGGAAGGGACAAAAGATTACCTGGGGTGGCAGGCAGCACCACAGCCCCGTAGCCTTCCACACGATACCTCTGCCAGAAGTCCAAGGAGAGGACCTCGCAATAGAGCACAGGCCACTCAGGGAGAGCATCTAGGAGCAATCGAGAGAAGCAGCCATGTCACAGGAGGCCTACTGGCCAGGGAGAACAAAAGCCCAGGATCAACTGCTGAGCTACTCACCAGCAGATTCATCCTTGTGGAGGAAGAAGGCTTCAAATGTGAATGGGTAACAGAAGTAAGCCACCTTGTCCTAAAAAAGAGGAGTGTCCCTTTATACTCAATGTCATATGGTAGGGAAGGCCTCATTTGGAATTTGTTCTCCCTGTAGCCAATGACAAGGTCACTTTCACAAGGGAAAAAGAACAATTATCATCCCATGTGGGAAGTAAGAGGTTGAGAGGCAAAGGGATACCCAAAATACAAGCTGCTGCCATTCTCTAAAAAGGCAGACAGAGGACCACGCAGCCCTTCAGAGCCCACACAGAAGAGTCAGACCCAACTCTGGAGGCCTCCCCAGAGTGCAGCAGTTGGCCTGATAAAGCCTCAAATGCTGCCCCAGGAGCAGATTCTCATTCCTTTCCAGATACCCTCTCCCATCCTCCATACCATTCCCAGGGACTTGGTGGCACAGGTCTGTGTTATTCCTGAGAGCTGCTGCAATGCTGGGCTTGACCAGTCTGAAAGGCAAAGACCAGATATACTAAGCTCACCTGAGAAGAGAGCAAGTAGTTGAGAAAAAGACAAAATCTCTTTATTCGTTTATTCATTCACTCATTCACACAATCAATCATTCATTTACTGTTTACTGGGAGTCTGCTATGTGATCGTACATCTTGGGATATCTTGGTAACCACATAGAAAAGATCCCTCTCTCTTATGGAGGTAACATGGGGGGCGAGGTGGGGGAAACAGACAGCAAACTAACAAGAGACTATCGGGTGGTGATAAGTGCTGTACTAAAAACAAAACAGGGGGAAGGGAGTGAGTGACTTGGAGGCTCACTTAGATTGGGTGGGGAGAGAAGGCCTCTCAGAAGTGACACAGACTGAGACCCAAACTCAAGTAGAACCAGCCATGTAAAGATATGGCAGAAAAGGTTTCAGACAAAGGAAATGATCCTGAAAAAACTCTAGTGGGCAAGACCTTGGCTGCAAAGAATGACTGGAATGTTGTAAGCAAGAGATACCCATGGGCCAGCTCGTGCACAGTGTGGAGTTTAGATTTTACTTCTAGTGGGAGGGGAAGCTGTTGGGGTTTTCAGCTCAAAAGGGACACAACTGGTTTACATTTTTAAAAGCTCAACTTGGCTATGGTGTATGTGGCAAATGAACTGTAAGCGGGAGCGGAAGAGGAAGCAAGAGGATGACTCAGAAGCTGACTGCACTGGCCCAGGTAAGAGATGGTGGTAGCTCGGTGTAGAGCAGAGAGAGGACAGATTCAGGACAGCTTCAGAAGACAGAGCTGACAGGAACCGCTGATGGACTGACCAGCTATAGGGAGCTAGAGAAAGTGAGAAATCAAAGCTGTCTCCTAGATTTTGGGCATTAGCAGCTAAGTAGATGATGCTGCCAATCTGCTAGGATGGGGAAGACCAGGGAGGATAGGTTTGAGGGGAGGGAGGGAATCAAGAGTTCTTTTTAGTAATGTTCAACAGAAATGACAACGAGGTAACTGGATGTGAGTCTGGAGTTCAGGGAAAAGGTTGAGGCTAGAGATGGAAACCTGTGAGTGTGAGACATACAAATGATATTTAAGCTGTGGGATCGATGAAATGCCTAGGAAGAACATAGATAGAGAGGAACAGAAGGCCTAGGCTCAGCCTTTGAAGCTCTAATAGTTTAAGATCAACAGAAGAGGAGGAATTGGCCAAGGAGGCTGATAAGCCACCAGCAAGATGGAAGAGAGACGTGTGGAGGCAGAAGACAAGAGAGGTATTTCATGAAGCAGAGTGAGCTGTGTCAGACGCTTTAGAGAGGTCAGGTAAGGTGAAAGCAGAGAAGTCACCACTGGATTTGGCAAAGTAGAAGTGATCTATAACCTTAAAAAGAGCAGTAACAGTTTCAGTAGAGGAGAGGGGAAGGAAGTCTAACTCAGTACCTCTAGAACTGTCAGAATGTGCATGAAAGGAGAGACTTAGACTATTACTTACTAGTAGTTGGCAATTCTACAAAGAAGTGGACGTAGAGATTGTCATACTCATAGCCTTGTGCTGAAACTGAGAGAGAAAACAGGAAACTATTTTAGCGTGTTCTCCTACTACCCTCAGCACCCAACCCAGTCCTACGGGGCCTACATGCTTTGGAAGCAAGTCTTTTGAGGGCCAGGAACCCTCTGGGTTTCCAGGAAAGACTCATCACTGAGTTTCCAAAGCACAGTAGACAACCTAAGGCCACCACCAGGGTGCAGGGTGAGGTAGGTTATTCATAGCTCTATCCGAACATCTGCCTAAGCGTCAAGAGATCTCTATCTGGCAAGATACTTACCTACCTCTCCATTTACAAAGAGCCGGAGCGTGCCTGGGACAGTCTGAGGTGAAGACAAGTGGGGAAAGATCAGGAGAGGCTGGGAGGGAACCAGGACTTCTCCCCAGCCCTGCCCACAAACCCGCAGAAGCCCTGACACTGGAGGTCAGACCCTGGGTCACTACTGTACTTCCTCACCCCCACCCTGACGCTTCTCCACAGATCTGTTTCCTTCATTTCTAAAGTTCACAGCATAGTGGAAAGGATATAATTTAAATGGCGGTGAGGGCGATGCAGTATGAAAAATTAGCAACAACAGCTGCCCTTTGGCATGCAATGGGAAGCCGAAAACCCCTGTTCCCTTTAGATGGCTACGGTCAGGAACCTAGGGAGTTTTCTTTTTCTGCATTATTTGTGTAACTGTTTTATCTAATTTTTTTAATACTGAATATCTGTGGCTTACATAATATGAAAATCACAAAAGTTAATTTTTTAAAGAGAGAGAGAGGGAGACAAGTAGGTAATTCTATCTTTGTTTCCAGATCTAGAAATAGAACTCTTGGAATGAGGAAAAACAAAGAACAGGACCACAGAATAACTGACCTGAATTGTTTTTTTAAGAGCCAAAATATTCAACAAACAGAAATGACCCCTGTTCCCTCTCCCTAGGGCATTTTGGAAAAATATCCACATGAAGAGGGGGGAAGACATCTTTCATCTTTAATTTATTAAATTAATTATAAAGTAATAGTGAATATATCAGCACTACCTAAGCTTAGGGAATAAAAAGGAAAAATCCCTGACATATCCCTCCCACCACCCACTACCCCACTACCACCTCCCAATCCAGCTGGTCTGGGACCAAATCCTGACTCTAGCACTTATGAGCTGTCACCCAGCCACCCACAGCATGTATTGTAGCCTTTCAGACCCTTTCCTATGCAAGAACAGTTCTGTATCAACATACAATGTTTCAAAACACATAACAAGGACTATACTCTAGGTGCTTTTCTTTGACTTCCTTTTTTCACTAAAGAGTAGATCTTGGGGACCTTTAAGAGAGGTGCTGTAACTCGCCCAGAGTCAGAACGCTCTGCTTAAACCCAGCTCACAGTGCTGCAGTAGCCAAGTACTCACCATCTCAAAGTCAGTGCCCACGAGGCTGCTGAGATACTCCTTATGCCGGCCATAAAGCTGAGGAAATGAACCAAACCAAAACTCAAGATGCAACCCACGCCAGACCAGGGCTCAGTTCTGAATGGGACGGAGAAAAGAAGCAATAACGGGAAAGGCCACCAAGAGCTGGAGGCATAAGCATCCTACTCACTGCCATTTTACAGTGAAGCACAGAGGCTCTGGAGTCAGCTGGTCTGGGACTGAATCCTGACTCTCGCATTAGGAGCTAAATCACCTTGGACAGACCATTAAGCTCCTCAATCTCAGTTTCCTCGTTTATAAAATGGTAATAATAAAAGTATTTGCCTCAAAGGGTTGTTGTGAGGAAATAAGGTATGTGAAGTAGGGCCTACCACAGAGCATGGTAAATGCTCAAATAAATGGTCATGGTTGTTATAATATGATCAAAAACTTCCATCTGACATGTCAACAATGCTTCCTAGGTCAGAAGAGGCTATGGGGGCCAAGGCTTGTCCCTAGTAACAGCCGACATCAAGCTCAGACATGGTCTTGGCTCCAGGCACTAAGGCTCATCCCTTTGGTACTTGGAGGGAACTAGCTCTTACATCCTTGAACACTCGCTGTTCCCGCTCCTCCTCCTCTGGCTGTGCGAGGGAGGACACGTTGTCGATCGTATACTTCCACAGCTCCTGCTTCTCCCCTTCTGTCTCGATTCTGTAAGGGCAAAGCCACAAAAGGGCTAGCTCTGACAATAAGAGATGGGGCCCCTCAGATCTAGCCCAGGGCTGAACCTCACTGGCCACACACCTCCCTTGAAGTATATGATGACAAAAATGGCCATAACAATGGCCAGGAGAGGGAAACAAAATGGTAAAGCAGGAAGGGCACCAGACTAGACTCAGAAGGTGTAGGTTCCAGACCCTCAACGTCACAGTGAAACCCTTAAGGCACAATATCCCTGGCACCCAGTTCTCTCACTTGAAAAATGGGCAGGTTTATCCAAATAATTTCCAATTTACAGCTTTATTATTCTAAGACACAGAGATAAGGAAAAATCAGCACAGAGGAAAAGACCTGGCTGAGTTCACTTCTGGTCAGTCCCAACATTCAGCAGCACAAAGAACCACTTTCACCAAACTACACCACTGAAGTGATCCCTTCCAAATGGTGAACTTGTACATTTTCTAAGAACAGGGTCCCCAGTTTTCTAAGGGCTTACGGCCCAGAATAGAATGTGAACCACTGCTTGGGAATTAGAACAGATGATGGGTTTTCTGAGAATCTCCTTAATTAAGAGCAAGAAGTGAAGCCAAGGGAAGAAATATCAGTTTCCACTACCCCTTTCCTCCTCTCCTCACCTGTAGGGTGCTCTGAGGCCTGTGAAGTCAGGTTTAACTGTGATCACACCATTGCTGTCCACCTTCAGGGTACAGAGGACATGCTCATACTTCTTATAGCCAAGCCTAGAAATCAGGATATCAACACCAAGGTTCAGGATCACTGGTCCTTCAAGGAAAGAGGAAGAGTCACCCCACTTCAGGGGAGAGAAGAGAGGCTACAGTGAGAATTACCATAGTAAAACATTTTCTTCCGAGTACCGCTAAGAAGAAAAGGAAGAATGTGTCCTTTCCTCCCGTATACCCTGGGAGGATACAGGAAGGCAATGGCTAGTGGGGGGAGAAGAGGTTGAGGATCTGAGTTGGCAGTGAGACGCGTCACTCACTTTCCATATGGCCCCAGGTCCGCCATGATGTACATTGTCTGAAGAGGGGTGTTAATGACATGGCTGTTCTTGATGAACTCTTCTGAGGGTTCCCAGGTGATGATGCGTGACTTGAGGATGCCGCCCTCCCTGGGAAACACCACAGGAAGGGTCACTTCTCTGACACTCCCTAAAGAGCCTGAAGCGGGGAGCACACCCCAGTGGCAGTCCACTTCAGGATGGGACACTTGAGCTGGTGGACATGCTGTTTTAAGAGCCAAAATATTTAACAAACAGAAATGCTATCCCTTTCCTCTCTATGGGGCATTTTGAAAAAATATCCACATGAAGGGTGAGAAATACATTTTACATTTTTTTTTTTTCAAGACAGAGTCTCACTCTGTTGTCTGGGCTACAGTGCTGTGACATCAGCCTAGCTCACAGCAACCTCCAACTCCTGGGCTCAAGCAATCCTTCTGCCTTAGCCTCCCTAGTAGCTGGGACTACAGGCATGCGCCACCATGCCTGGCTAATTTTTTCTATATATTTTCAGTCAGCCAATTAATTTCTTTCTATCTTTAGTAGAGACAGAGTCTCACTCTTGCTCAGGCTGGTTTCGAACTCCTGACCTTGAGCGATCCACCCACCTTGGTCTCCCAAAGTGCTAGGATTACAGGCGTGAGCCACCGCACCCAGCCTATTTTACATCTTTATATTGATTTTTTAAATTAATTATAAAATAATAATGAATATTGCATATTACCACTGATAAAAATTCAAAACTACCTAAGTTTAGGAAATAAAAAGCTCTGGTTGGTGGACGTACTGAGAACACTGGCACGGAAGGACCACAATGGCCCCCCCAGCCCCCAACACACTTGTACTCACATTCCTCTCCTGTCCTGCCGTCGCCGCCTGACATTTGCCATTCGTTCAACTAAGAATGACGGCACCTCACTGGCTGCGGTGGTCATTTTCTGACAGTGCTGAGAAAAGAGAGCAGTCCCATGTGAGCCATCTGGTCATGGCCACATTGGGCCAAGTACTCGAAGGGAAGTCTTCCTTCTGAAACCTCCTCCAAGACCCAAGACTAACAGGCACAACCACCTCACCGTTACATGTGCTAATGGAGGGGAGCAGCGGCACCAACAACCCAAGAAGACGTCTACCACATCTTGAACTGTCCCAGGATTTTAGATTTTATCTATGCTAATATTAAAATTAGTCTGTATTCTCTAAGTATAGAAAGTTGAGTTAGTTTGCCTGGTAGATGCTGAAGTTAACTAGGTGGTTGGAAAATGCCAAATGGGATACAAGTATTTTATGGAAAATCCTCACGTGGTAACTGAACACTATCTGCATTTTTATTTGCTTTTCCAAAATAGACAACTCAAACGGTATATAGTACCAACCCATAGCTCTCCTAATGAAAACATGCCAGTCTTTCAAAGACAGTTGTTTAACACCTGCTCCTTGCAGAGATCTACAGGGTCAAAAACAAAAATCAGAAAATACAGGCTCTACCCTCAAGGAGTTTGAAGTCTTACTGAAAAGACAGAACATACACAGTGGATGAAGAAAATATAAAACAAGTACACAAGGGAATGTTGGCATAGGTAAATTGAGGACAATAAGCCATTCCTCGTAACTGTATTGAATTCCTCTTTAAACCCCTATATTCAGACTTTGGGGTGAATCTCCTGATGAATTTCATTTAGCTTGTTCTAGACTCCACCACCTGTCTTATCTCATGATGATGCATGGCAGAAGCCAAGTCCAGTGGCTACTTCTCCTACTATGCATGCTGCGAGCTCTCCCAGGCCCTCCAGCAAGCAAAGAGGGAGTAGCAGCCATACCACCGGAAGACCATGCCCACTCTGGTCCAGCTTGGCTGCCAGCCGCTCACAGCAGTTTCTAGACAAGCTACCTGTCTCCCCTTAACAGGCTTCTTATTTAACACACACAACCCAGTGAGGCCAGAAAAGTAGGGGAGTCAAAGAAGGAAACTATGGGACGGCAGAAGGAATATACCTCCTCCAAATTGGTGTATCTATCAGAGTCAGTGTAGGTAAAGATTCGTCGGTTCTTCCTGCCACCTGAATTCTCCAACTTCAGGATCTCTTGACGATATTGACAATCCAAAGGACTCTGACAGGCTGCTTCATTTTGGTATAAATCTACTTCAAACTGAGGTCACCACAAGGAGACAGAGATATACTGAGAATACATCAAACTTTTGTTCCTCTGTTTAATCAAATCAGTTCTATAGAGCTGATGCTATTTGATATGTTTTCATAACCAACTTGAAACTAATGGAGAGCAGGGGATCCAAGAATGTTAGAGCTAAATAGACCCAGAGTGATGGTCTAGTCCAAATCTGCTGTTACAGATGGCATACAGCCCAGAAGTGAAAAGTCCCTTACCCAGGATCATAAACTGAATAGTGGCAGTCACTGTAAATACAACAGGGGAAAGTATTAACTGTTACAAACTTTCTGGAAATCAGCTTGGCAATTGTATCACCATCCAGGTGGGGGTATACCAGGTAAAGGTAGAAGACAAGAGACACTGGCTTACCTGGCTAAAGAGCTTCTCCTGCCACCCAATGACAATCTCCTCCTCTTCATCTTCATCCGGGCGGTGTCCACCTCCAAAGACAACAGAGTGAGTCAAACGCTTGAGCCAAACCAGCATCATTTCTTGCTCTGTGACTGATTATAAACAAAGTCCTTACTCTTATATTTGCCTCAAAACCAGCTGGAGTTCAGTAATTTATTAAGCACTCAATCTAAACAAAGGCTCTAGAGGCTATGGATATACTCCACAACATATGATGGTTAGTTTGAGCAGAAGCCAAGATAAGACTCAAGAAGTCTTAATCACTTCAAATTGGAATAAAAGGTAGTCCTGCCTTCCAGAAAATATTTAATCTAATTCAGTGTCAGGAACTAAAATTAAGATATAGACTGATAGCCAGCCCTTCCTCAATCCCAATGGTCTGCATTTGCTAGAAAAGAACCCTGGCATTTTTATTTTCACTATTCCTGAAGCTATATATATAGATTCATAAACACTGTAACTTAGGAGACCAAGTGTCCAGAGAGGACAGAGAAGGCAAATAAATGATTTTTTAAAGAACCAAATCTAATACACTTCTAGCTGAGTATGCCTTTTTCAGAGACACATGCTTCACAACCCACCAGCCACCCTCTTATCCAGAAATATGTATGAATAGAAACAACAAAAACATAAAGTCTAGCGACAAAAAAAACCCACCCTGTCCTCTCTTCCTCACTTTCAGCCTTCAGATAAGGAAAACCACAACAACACAGTTTACATTTATATGCACATTTTTCAAGCAGTCTCCAATCTTTTTTTAAATTTTGAAATATTAAAGGGATACAAATGTTTTTGTTAAGTGGATAGCTTTTGTAATGCTTGAGTTGGGACTATAAGTGTGTCCATCACCTAATCCAATCTTAAAATTGTTTTTTAAAGTGCATACATTTGTATTTAGGGTTTGCAGCGTATTTTTTCTTAGACCAAAAATGCCACAAATGGTATTTAGGTTGCCAGGCAAATTTACAGCATATCAAAAGCATGGTATTTGTTATTTCACTATATTTGGCCACAATTCTAATCAGTATCTTGAGAGCAGGAATCCTGTCTTATTCAATTTTCAAACACAACATAAAGTAGTAGTTAAGATTGCCTGGGTTCAAATCCTGGCTCCAACATTTATCAGCTGTGTGACCTTGGGCAAGTAACTCAACCTCTTTATACCTCCCACTCCTCCTCTTAAAAAGGTGAAGCTTTCTCTTAAAACCACAGACCTGGGTCTACTCTGTGTTAAGAGTAACTCTAAATGTTTATAGCAGCACAATTCATAATCGCAAGGCTGTGGAAACAGCCCAAGTGCCCATCAATCCAAGAATGGATTAATAAAATGTGGTATATGTATACCATGGAGTACTATTCAGCTTTAAGAAACAACGGTGATATAGCACATCTTATATTTTCCTGGTTAGAGCTGGAACCCATACTACTAAGTGAAGTATCCCAAGAATGGAAAAACAAACACCACATATACTCACCAGCAAACTGGTATTAACTGAGCAGCACCTAAATGGACACATAGGTACTACAGTAATAGGGTATTGGGCAGGGAGGGGGGAGGGTAGTGGGTATATACATACATAATGAGTGAGATGTGCACCATCTGGGGGATGGTCACGCTGGAAACTCAGACTTGTGGGGGGAGGGGGGAAAGGGCATTTTTTGAAACCTTAAAATGTGTACCCCCATAATATGCCGAAAAAAAAAAAAAGAGTAACTCTACCACCCCAAGCCTTTCCCCAAAATCCTCAAGGGGCAGCATCACCACCATAACACCCACTGGCAGTTGGTTGAGGCCTAAAAGTGGCCAAGTCTATGAGGTCACTCCCGGACTGGGCAGCAGGCTGATAATGAAGAAAGTTGCCTGATGTGATTCTTTGCAGGTGGACTCTGTCAAGGAGAGAGAATTCCAAAATACACGTTACAAGATACTCAACCACTCAACCACAGAGCAAGGATGGGGGAAACAAAACACAGAGGAGGTGGGGTTGCTAAGGTGTGCTGGGTGCAGACAACAGAGGAGGTGGGTTGGGCGCGGGAGTCCTAAGGGGAAGAGTGCGGGTAAGAGGATGTACTGGGGACACAGAGATACGGGTACAAGCAGTGCGAGAAGATGGGAGACCGGAGAGGAAGTGGTCGGGTTTGTAAGCAGAAGTGGGGGCCTCAGAACAGAAGTTCAGGCTCGAATTATCTGAGGGTATAAAAGCATGGGTGCCTGGGCCTGGGGTTGGGGTCGGGGCCGGGGCCAGGGCGGTGCAACTACCGGAGGCGCAAGTTGCGCACGGGATCCAGGGAGCGATACACTGCCTCCCCCGTGTCAGTGCTCCAAGAGGCCTCCGCCATGACAGCTGCGACGCGCCGCGACTGCGCCGGAAAGCGCACCGCCCCCAGTTCCCCAGGCAACGGAGACGCTTGGTTCCAGAGGCGGTGGAGCCTGTGGAGGCGGTGGAGGCGCTGCGCGCGCAACCCGCTGTTCCGGTCGCCGCGCTGCAGCGGCTATGACCTACCTTCTGCCAGTGCAGCCCAGGCCGAGCGCCCGGGCGCGCTCCAGGGTCCTGCCAGTCACCATTTGCCATGAATGCGAGCAAAGCTCACGCGCACCCAAGGCAGGACTTGATGCGCTGTACAAAATAAAAAACAGGCACAGCCATCAGCCTACTTCATTTCGATGCAGAAAAGGTGATGAGGACCTGAATCAGATGACCCTGAGTCCTCGCCTCTAGTTTTCCCACCACACCACACTGCCTTCCACAGACCTCGTGAAAACTTTGGCCTGAAAATTGGTGGAAGTGACTGAAAGAGTGCACCCATTATTCCTAAAAGAGTCAGTGAAGGTCATGGCCCTTGTCCAGATGTGAAAATGTATTCTTTGAAGAAAAAAAGTGTGTCAAAAGATTGATTAGTCATTGTGTTGGTGTTCACCCAACCAGAGAAAGAAAAAGACAAGGAGCCCACAGTAAGGAAGGAAGAGATGTTATTATTGAACTGGTTCTTCTGTGTGTGTGTTAGTTCTGGATTATTGAGCCACCTTAGATACTGCACTGGCCTCCTGAAAGATCAACAAAGTGACATCCAGAAGTCAAGCTTCACTGGACTATCAAAGGAAGGACACACCATAACCTCAAGTCTGGCTTCCTGGCACCTTGGGGATGTCAACATTTATCAGCCTTTCACATCTGTTACTCCCCCAACAGAGTAAGCATTGTACCCTGAACTCAGGAACCTCTTGTCAGTTTGATTATATTGCATTGGAAGCCCTGGGTGTCATAGTTGCTAGTTGTGCAAGACCAAGGACTCATCATAAACAGTATTGTTTATTTAGGATCTAATACAGCCTGGCACTTCGTTTGCATTGTCCCTAATCTTCATAGAAACCTCCAAAGAATACCATAGAAAGAAGGTATTTTTGTTCCTATTTAGCAGATAACATTAGTGATGTCCAGAGATTAAAGGGCTTGTCAAGTAAGTGGTAAAAGCACTGGGATTCCAGCCCAGATTCATCTGTCTTTTGAAGCTTAACCACTTTCCGCTGTTTCACAACCTCTCATTTACCAGTTTATTCTGTACAAGCACACAATTTCCAACATGGGAAATAGTTATTTCAACAAATAAAACAGGAGGCAAAATACTAGCTCCTAAGAAATGGTCTCTCTGATGTTTCCTTTTAAGATTGTGGGTAGATAACACTGTGCCACATGAATAGCAGCTGATAAAGGTGGAGCCTGCATCAAGTTTAGTTTTATAACCAAATCAAAGTTATAATACAATTAATCCAACATATGCAAAATAGTTTCTGTACCACATGGCATAGAAGTATAAGCTATCTATTTGACACAAAATAAGGCAGGAATGGAGGAACTGAGGAACAAAAAAAAAAGACAGAAAAATAGCAAAATGGCAGATGTAAACTTACCTTATAGGTAATTAATTACATTAAATATAAAAATATTAAGCACAGTGATCAAAAGGCAAAGATTGGCAGAATGGGTTGGAAAGACATAATCCAATTATGAATTGCCTACAACACACAAACTTTAGATTTAAAGGCATAAATAGGTTGGAAGTAAATGGATGGAAAAAGACATACCATGCAAATAGTAACCAAAGGAGAACTGAAGTGGCTCTACTAATATCAAAAAAAATGGGCCGGGCGCGGTGGCTCACGCCTGTAATCCTAGCTCTCTGGGAGGCCGAGGCGGGCGGATTGCTCAAGGTCAGGAGTTGAAAACCAGCCGTGAGCCAGAATGAGCGAGACCCGTCGTCTACTACTATAAATAGAAATAATTGGCACACTGATATATATATATATATTAAAATTAGCCGGCATTGTGGCGCATGCCTGTAGTCCCAGCTACTCGGAGGCTGAGGCAAAGGATCGCTTGAGCCCAGGAGTTTGAGGTTGCTGTGAGCTAGGCTGACGCCACGGCACTCACTTAGCCTGGACAAAAGCGAGACTCTGTCTCAAAAAAAAAAAAAAAAAAGTCAATTCACAGAAGACATAATTCTTAAATTTGTGAATGAAAGAGGGGATATTACTACTGACTTTACAGAAATAAAAAGGTCTGTAAGGAATTACAATTATATATCAACATGTTAAATAACTTCAATGAAATGGACATATTCCTAGAAAGACAACACTACCAATTCTGATGAAAGAAGAAATAAAAAATCTGACTATACCTGTAACAAGTAAATAGACCTATTACTATGTGAATTAGTAATTTACTACTACAACAAAAAACAAACAAAAAAATAAAAAAAATATTTCCCACAAAGAAAAGTCCAAACCTAGATAATTTCACTGGTGAATTCCATGAAAAATTTAAAGAATTAATACCAATCCTTCACAAACTCTTCCAAGAAATAGAAGAGGAGAGAACACTTTCCAATTTATTCCATGAGGCCAGTATTACCTATATAACAAAACCAAACAAAAATACAACAAGAAAAGTATACGCCAGTACCCCTTATAAATATACATACATGCTGGGCACAGTGGCTTATGCCTGTAATCCAGGGACTTGGGAGGCTGAGGCAGGAGGATCACTTGAGGCCAGGAGCTTGAGACCAGGGCAACATAGTGAGGCCCCCCCCATCCCCAAAAATATATAAGAAAAAATAACTGGGCATGGTGGCATAGGCCTGTAGTCCCAGCTACTTGGAAGGCTGAGTCAGGAGGATCACTTGAACCCAGGAGTTCAAGAGTTCAAGGCTGCAGTGAGCTATGATAGTGCCACTGCATTCCAGCGTGGGTGACAGAATGAGATCTCTCATCTCTCTCTCTCTCTATACACACACACACACACACACACACACACACACACACACACAAAGATCCTCAAGGAAATACTAGCACACTGAACCTAGCAATATATAATGGCTAATATACCATGATCAAGTAGGATTTATCCCAGGAATATAAGGTTACTTCAACATACAAAAAGTAATCAATGTAATCAATGTGATACAGCATATTAATAGAATAAAAGACAAAAATTACATGATCATCTCAATAGATGCAGGAAAAGCATTTGACAAAATCCAACACTCTTTCATGGGAAAAATATCCAACAAACTAGGAATAGAAAGAAACTCCTTCAACCTGATACAGGGCATCAACAACAAAACAAAACCCCACAGCTAACATTATAATTAATGAAAGACTAAAATATGTCCCCCTAAAATTAGAAACAACATAAGGGTGTCTGTTCTCACAATTCTATTGGACATTGTACTTGAGGATCTAGTCAGGGCAATTAGGTAAGGAAAAGAAATAAAAAGCATACAGATTTTGCAGATGGTATGATATTGTATATAGAAAATACTAAGACAGTCACAAAATAAATTAGAACTAATGAATGAGTTCAGCAATTTTGCAGGATATAAGCTTAATATAAAAAAGCAATTTTATTTCTATATACTAGCAAAGACCAATCTCAAAATAAAAATAAGGAAAAAATGTACTTCCAATAGCATCAAAAAGAACAAAATACTTAGAAATAAATTTAGTAAAACAAAGACTTGTACACTGTAAACTTGAAAGCATCATTGAAATAAATGAAAGAAGACCTAAATAAATGTAAGATATTCCAAGTTCATGGGTCAGAAGACTTAATATTGTTAAGCTTTGTATTGTATTGTATTATATTATTTTGTATTATATTGTATAGTTAATACTCCCCAAACTAAGCTACAGATCTACAACATAATGCCTACCAAAATCCCAGTTGCCTTTTTTGGAAGAAAATGATAAGCTTATCTTAAAATTCATATGAAAACTCAAGTGACTCAGAATAGCCAAAACAATATTGAAAAATAAGAACGAACTTGGAGGAATTACACTTACTGATCTCAAAAATTACTAGAAAGCTATAGTAATGAAGACAGTGTGGTACTGGCATATAGATCAATGGAATAGAATTGGGAGTCCAGAAATAAACTCTTACATTTATGGTCAATTGATTTTTTAACAAGGATGCTAAAACAATCCAATGGGCGAATAACAGGCTTTTCAACAAATGGTGCTGGTACAACTGGATATCCACACACAAAAGAATGCAATCAGACTCCCTACCTCACACCATATCCAAAAATTTCAAAATGTATCAAAGACATAAATGTAAGAGTTAAAACTATAAAACTTTTAGAAGAAAATGGGCAGTAAGCAAAATCTTATTAGATATAACACCAAAAGTACAAGTGACTAAAGAAAAAAATAGATAAATCGGACTTCATCAAAATTAAAAACTTGTGCTTCAAAGGACACTATCAAAAAAGTAAAAATACAATTCACAAAATGAGAGTAGATATTTAAAACCATACATCTGATAAAGGACCTGTATCTAGAATATATAGACAAGTAACACAAGCACAAAATGGGCAAAGGATCTGAATATACATTTCTCCAAAGAAAATATGAAAATGATCAATAAGCACATGAGAAATTGCTCAACATCATTAAACATCAAGGAAATACAAATCAAAACCACAATGAAATACTGCTTCACTTCTGCTTGAATGGCTATAATCAAAAGAAAGATATTAACTAGTGTTGGCAAAAATATGGAGAAATTGGAACTTTCACATTCTGCTGGTGTGAATGTAAAATATCCTCAAAATGATCTAAATTCTAATAAAAATCCCACCAGGTTTTTTGTAGAATTGACAACTTGAATCTAACATTGACATGGAAATGCAAAGGATTTATATAATTAAAAGAATTTTTTTAAAATACAAAATGTTAAGGACTTACATTATCTGATTTCTAGACAAAGTAAAAAATACAATAATCATTACAGTGTGGTATTGGCATAAAGGTAGACATATAGATTGATGAAACAGTACAGAGTCTGTGTAACAAATGAATCACATAACCACCTTAAAG